TAAGAATTAATTGGATAATGATACTAATGTGGCAAATAAATTTTTTAACTAAAATGTTGAAAGTTAATATTTTTAAATAGAAAAAGTTGAAAGTTAGTATTCTTAAATAGAAAAGTTGAAAGTTGATATCTTTAAATAAAAAAGTTAAAATTTGATATTCTTAAATAAAAAATATTGAAAGTTAACATTTTTATTTAAAAATTGATAAAGTTAACATCCTTAAATAAAAAAACTGTAAGGTTGATATCATTTTTTACACCTTTACTCATACTCCATCGGTTAAACTTTATTAGACTTAATTTTTTTTCTTTGTTAAATAAAATTTTAACGAAATAATTTATTGATAAAATTTTATATTTATTTTTAATTAAATATAACTTAAATAAAAAAATTTTATTTTTATTTAATGCATATTATAATTAATTTTTTAAATAAAGATAAAATATAAATCAATACATTAAATCACATTTAAAAAAGTTAGATAACTAAATTTGAATATCTCAAATTAAAATTTAAAGTCAACTAAAATTGTATTGATAAGTATTATTTAATGGATTTTTTTAAGGAAATAAATTTGAGTAATTTTTTTGTTTTTGGTACATAACAAATTTGAGTATTATAATGCTTGTAAATGTACAACAATAATATAATATTAAATAAATAAATACATATAATATTATATGTATACTCTAATAAAAACACATGTAATTTAAATGCATTTTCAATTTCTATTGTAGTAGAAGTATTGAGTTATAAAACGGAGAACGTCATTGATAATGCTTCCCCCCAGTTGCAACGCCGAGGAAGTCGCTTCTTGATCTTTGGGTAAAAACATGAATCAAAGACTATGTTGGATTATTTTAATTACTTATAAACAACAACAAACACAATAACTAAGGAGGGGCAGAGTGGAACCTAATCTTAATTTTTTTGTTTAATCCGAGTCAAATTGGAAAGATTATAAAAACCAATTTGCAAAAATTCTGTTTTTGGCAACTGCTAATCTGCTGTATATATACAGAAGCCTTGATATCCTCTAATTAATTAGCGTATCAACTGCTCCACTTGTACTGCCCACCCCATCTTTTTTTTTCTTCTTGCTCTGCCTCTACCCCTCTGCCATGGCACTCCAACCCAAATCCATAGGCACCCCAACAAAGGGTTTCTTCAAGACTCAAATCATACTCAGGATCCTGGCTGCTGCCTTCACCCTGGCTGCAATCTTTGTTTTAGTCACCGCCAAACAGTCTGTTGTTGTGTTTGGGATCGTTTTGCAAGCTCGCTACGATTACACCACTGCTTTCAGGTTAATTAATCCCGTTTCTTTGCTACTAATCTCATTAATTAATTAATTAATCAATTTTTCGATTTTATATGTTTTCAGGTTTGTACTTGGTGCGGATGCAGTGGTATGCGGCTTCTCTCTGCTCTCAGTCGTATTTGTTTGCATGTTAAGCCGTTCGGAATCGCATGTCAAGACTCATTTTTTCTTGTATCTGCACGATTTGGTAAGACAAATATCATCTCTCCTTTCGCCTCACCTGATTGCCATGTCAATTGATGATTGATATATTTGTGTTGTGCCATATATCAGTTCATGATGCTTGTGATGATATCCGGATGTGCAGCTGGGACTGCAGTGGGGTATGTTGGGAAATTTGGGGAGGAGAAGATGGGGTGGTTCGGATTCTGTGATAGAGTGACCAAGTTTTGTAACCAAGTTACGATTTCCATGGTGCTATCTTACTTGGCTTTCTTTTGCTACTTGGCTATGACCATCATGTCTCCAAGGAAATTCATGTATAAGGTTATTGAATGAGTTCCGGTTGCAATTTCCCATCCTACCTTATCTTTTAGAAATTGAGTTGCTTGTAGTGCTAGGGGAGACTCAGAATAACATACATGTATTATTAAACACTTTTTGTATGCTCCTCGCCATCATCCTATTTTCAGTTTAGTAAAATGTTGGAGCATCCCCCACTTTTAATTTAATACTCACTCTGTTCTTAATATGAAATTCTCTTCCTCAACTAAACATGCTTTAACATAAAGCAGTGAAATCAAGAAAAGGATTTAAATGTTTATACGATGTCAATGGATTAATGATGATTGACATTCTCAGAAAGAACACAATCAAAAACAAAAATTCATACTTTGTGGCAGTACTTTAGATTACCTTACATTATGCATAACAATGTTATGTTAACCACGGGGAATAAAAGAAAAGAAAAGATGAGATTATCTTTTATATATTTCATTCTATTTCCACCTCATCCTCAGAGTCTTTGAGATGCTCTTTCAGGAGTTGGCTCTGGTTTTCCCAGTTTTCTCTATTCCATGCTGCATCAATTTCAGGAAGTCCGTAGTCATCAGGTGTCAATGATAGTTGAAAATCTGGCAGGTCAGGTAATGATTGGAGAGCCCTGAACGATTCATCATCACCAACACCAAAATTTTACTAAAAATATTGAACTATGTTGAATTAAGTCAGAAAACTTTTGCTTACTTTTCATGTTCTAAGAGGTAGCCATACATCTGAGACTTTCTTGATGCAACTTCAGGTATTTTCTGATGTAAATGCTTCATAACTCCCCAAAGAGGAGGACCCCTTTCCCAACCCAAAACAAAACAACAGGTAATTATAAAACAACTGTGGAAGGAAGTACCTTCTGTTCATTAACATTTACATAACTTGGTGGAAACCTACCTGGTCACAGGAGCTGCAAGGCAAAAGGTTAACAATACCTTCTTACTCTCTGCAAGCAGTTCTTCAGCAGCTAGGAAACAGCACACAGCAGCAACATGTGAGGATTGTTCATTTCCCTTGTCGAGGATAAGACCGTGGTAGTAGTAAGCGGCAGCCTAATCATATTAATTACACAAGATTAAGACCTGATATGGAAATCCAAGATTAACTGAATGCAAGAAAGAAAAAAAAGATGTTCAAGCAATCAGCTGAAAACCTTTGCTTCAAGGAATTTCCATTTGATGAACCATAAATGTTTCTTCCCAGATACATGGCCAAAGTCACACCCAGACAAGCATTGATAAGCCTGACTGAAATAGATTAGCTGTTCACATGCCAGCCTCCTCTTCACTGATAAATTGGCCTTTTGACTATCAACAGCTAAACCGAGCTGTATTTCAGTTCCCTGAATTTCTCATTAAGATCAGTTTCCATAGCAAATCCTGGAACTCATTTTTTATGCTAAACTAAATCCTACAATGAAACATAGTTGAATATTTTCCCCGGAGAACTGAATTATGATTACCTGCCCTAATGCTTGAATGGAAATAGCTTCCAGTACACCCTCCTGAAAATCTTTTGGCAACCTTCTCCTGGAAATATATAGACAATATCTCAACATCCTTGCTCATATCAAAACATTTCAGAATGATCCTAAACTGATTCAAATTCATTTGCATACTTGATTTCAAGTGGCATGCGAGGAAGTACATCCCGAAGACAGAATTCCAGGTATCCAGATGCCTTGAGCAATAAGTCAACAGCATCCCTCTTGCAATCTGGAAGTGGACAGTGCAGAAGATTACCGATGAGGCATTCCCAACAAAACATCATAAGATTACCAATATGACAAATTCATTGGATTGTCATAGATGGACTTATGGGTGAGAAAATAAACCTGAAGATACAACCCTAAAGCCAGAACCAGACTTATCCTTGGGGATCATCAGTGAATCAGCCTCAGACAGTGTTAGCATAGCCATCATATGAACAATAGATAATAATTCAAACCAGGCATTTGCCACACAAGATTCCTGCAGGATTCATGCTGACTTTGAAGGAGCCGACTAACAGCACTGAAGAAACACAATGAAATTGCCTACAAGCTTACCTGTCTTCTATCTTCTAGACTTCTCCACTTGAATTCCACCAAGTCCTCAAGACCATTTTCTGTAGAGAAAAAAAAAAAATACAGATTACTCATCAAAGACTTGCATAAACTAAGAAAAGGAAGAGGAGGAGGAGAAAGAGATTATATATAAAAACCTTTGTTAGTGAGCCCAATTAGAAGTGACAAGTACTCCTCTAGTGCCCGCCGCAGCTCAGATGTGGCAGATCCACCTACGAGAAACAAAATTACGCAAGTGAATTAGTAATGGGGCAGGGGAACCTTCTCTATCATTTTCCCAACAGCCAAACAGAAGAGGGGAAAGTAAGAACAGACCAGTATCCTCAGCCACTAACACAATCTGATTCCTCAAACAAGATAATCTATCAATAAGCTGAGGAGGAATCAGACCCTTTAGTGGCCTTTGAAGATCAGACTGAACTGGAATTCGCACAGAAGGAACAAAAACCACCACTTCTGGGAAACAGGCTTTCTTCTTATTCTTCTTCCCAAGTGCATACACAGAATAAGCGCACCCCATTCCTTTTTCCTTTATTCCAGCGGATGCTTCCGAAAAACAGCAAGCGTCCCACAAAAACCAATCAAAGTAGTCTAGTCTTGAGCTTGAGTCCCATAAATGTTACAGTTGTGAATTAAAACAACATATGGGGTTCAACAAATGAAGTTGATGGTTCCCTTCCTCCCAATGATTGAAGCAAGTAGATTCAAATTTAATAAAAATGGAAGGAAAAATGAATCCGAGAAATGGAAGAGATTAGATGGGAGTGAGTGTAGAGAAAGAGAGAAATGAAGGTTCAAGGAGGATGCAATGGAATAGAAGAGAGAGAAAGAAGCTCAAGGACCAAGGCATCTTTCACATGGCTAGGAGCAACAAGTCATCGCTTCTCTGCATTGTTAAAGGAGCAAAGCAAGTTGAAAGCTTGGAACTTCATCTTTCATAATCATGGTGAAACTGAGTAATAATATAAAGAATTCTACGCAGAAATTGATAGCACGTGTCATGTACATACAGACAACTACAGATGGTTAATAAACAGAGTGATGGGAATTGGATGGGATCCTTAATCTGAATTGAAACTAGTATTAATTTGTTTATGGAAGTTAACAAATGGCATCACGTGTTTGTGAATCTTAACTGCAACTTTTCCTATGAAATCTGGACCATTGATTTTCTTAATCACTTCCTTGTGGACTTATAGTTATGCATCAGCACCTCCTAACTCTCAACACACAAGCTACATACATGCATTAGTTCCTTGATATTAGCATAAATTAAACCACACTGCATTGTACAATTGTCACAAGGAAGCATTAATCGAACTAAATTTGAGGCATCTATATATATATATATATACACATATGGAACTTGTATTGTAGTATTATTTGTTTTTTAGCTGGTTTTTGATGGATCTGCTGCCAGTGCCAACCCATTATAAATCTGATATACATAACAAGATGTGAAATTTAGCAGTTTCCCAGACGCAACAAAACCATGTTACCTTGGGACAATACAGGCTGTTTGATGGGTCACGTTCATGCTACCCATATCTTGGCATTATCCACACAATTAATTCTACCAAATCCCAGATGCAACAGTTTATCCAGTGATGATTTTAGTTTTTCTTTAGTTCTTTCTGCTGAACCACTGGAGATATTTTCTGGGTTTTTAGATTAGACTCATGAAATTCACAATGATCAAATTAAACTAAAAACCTGATGTTATGATATCACCCAAAAATTAACCCTCACACAGTAGCAGTATGATGAGCTTTTCATTGGCTTTTTATCAGGTTCAGGAGAGCAACTGAGAAAGTCTAGATCGTTAGGTTCAAACGGAAAATTCGAGACTACCTTCAAACCACTCAACTTGGTGGCCATAGAAAAAGGAGTGTGTGAGGTACACATCCCGATTAATTAAATATCAAGTTATTATTATTATTATTTTTATTTTTGTTGCACAATAACAGACAATCATCTTTAATTCTTTATCTCACCCTACCTGCATGTTATGCAACTCAAAGTCAGTATCTCTTATTTTTAGCAAAAAAAGATGATCACTGAATTATTTAGGTTATTGGTAAATATCAAGTTAATTAAAGAAGTGATAGTTGAAGCATTAAGGCAGAGGTTTGAGTTGAATGTAACAAACTTTGGCTGCAATATCAAGTTAAAGCAAGCCTGCCTTGTTTTACTAGCAAAAGACCTATTGCAAATCTCTTTCTCATATATGTATATATATAAATCTTCCATTTCAATAGGTTGTGTTGTGTGCAGAATGTTTAGAAAAGGCTGAACCGAGTCCCAAAGATTATTTTAATGCTAGTGTATGCGACTGCAGCATCGATCGAGTATAAAATCACTAACCTATATACCCTAAGGCGACTTCTATACATTAGTTGAAGTTGCTCATATCGATAGATCTATTGAAATCATTTTCCAAAGTCAACCTTTTGGGACTAATATTCAATTCAATTCCATAAAATGGCAAAAGGCATAGGCCTCAGAAGTTTCATTTTTTCCCTTTTTAATGATTCATAGAAGCAAGCAAATAATCTGCAGTTCTGAAAAGAAATATAAACTCACATCAAATAAAGAAGGATGTAATACAATGCAATGCAAGAACAACAATTTTTGGCACTAACACCCCCTTAGAGCTATTATTAAGTTAATTCTGTTTATAAAGTAGTATTTGATAAGATGAATAAACAATAGGTTAAAGATAAAGATTGTAACTTTTGAACAAGAAATACTACAGAAAATCTCCATTAAAAATAAAAAGCTCAATGTTTTGATAGAGACCTGAGAAACGGTATTACAATTCCAGAGCAGAGCAGAGAAGGCGCAAACAGCAATGCTATTGTTTTTTTCCCCCACAAGCCCCTTTAATTGGTGGCATTAGCAAAGGCATGATAAAAGGCGTTTGCCGCTACATCATCCATCCCCCATTTACTTGCTCCTTCAAAATCTCTAATTCAAGTTCAACCAATTGCTTATATTCTTTACAGACTCCAACAAATGTGAAGAATCCTGATTTGGCACTGAGACAAGCCAAATATATATATATATATATATATATATGCCCATAAATCTAGCCAATCGGTGGGATTTTTATCCCATCCTAAATTATTAATATCATACCTTTTAAATATAATTAAAAATTAGTATACATAGTCTCTGTTTCTAAAAATAATTAAAATTTTGATTTATATTTAAAAATTAAAATTTTAATTTAAAATTCAACATCTTATTAAATGTTTATATCTAAATTTGAAAATAAATTGTATATTTTAATATAATTAATTTTTAAATTTAAATGTCAATATTTAATAAAATAAAATTTTAAATTTTAAATTTAATTTTAATTAAATAAAATAACACAATTTAAAGTTAAAACTTTAATTTTTTTTAAAATGTACTTTTTTTTATATAATTATATTATATTATTACATTATATTTTTCAAAAATTTTATATTTTATAGTTTTTAATGAATTAAAATATATAATAATCAATTAAAATAAAAAAAATGACATTAATAATTAAAAATATAATAATAATAATATTCCTTGGTGTTCATCGAATAAAAAACATCGGGCGATTGAACGTGGCAACGTGCCGCTGCCCTGCTGGTCTCAGATAATTAGGCTTTGACTCTGTTGTGGGCTTCGGCTCTTTAGGCCCAATTATACTTGGACTTGGGCAATGCGTTCAATGCCCAAACCAAGTATGTAGTATGAACTAGTGGGGAATTGACAACAATGACAGGATTAGTAAGTGAACTTAATTTATTTCCTGTCTTTAAGTCCGTTCGGTTTTTCTCTGCTTTTGCATTTGATTTCAATTTGATGAGTCATCATTTCTCTTTATGTACAAAACGATGTAAGCCCAGTTTCTTTGCCGTCCCCCTCAAGAAAAACTTGATGATGATGATGATAATAATAATAATGCATGGACCATATATTTCTTGGTTCAAATGGAAAGAGTTCGTTTTCATTAAATAAAATTTTAAATTCGAATCTTGTGAATGGAAAAATAAGTATTGAGAGAGCTTCTCTTTTAATGAGGTTCAACACGAATTGAGATCTAATATGATTATTAGATATTAAAAAGTTAATACAATAATAATAATAATAATAATGCATGGAAAAAGTCAATTGGGACAAAACCCTTGGTTCAGTTGAGATGGATGGGCATTGACTTTGATTTCAAAGGCGGTGGCGGCTTCTCAAATGGGTAGATGTTGGCATTGGAATCATGTGCCCCATGAAATAGGATAGATTTGAACCATGGCCACTGCATCTCTATTAGATTTTGTGGGCTTAATTAATAATTAGTTTATTAACGATCAATTAAATTTTATTTTAGTTTAGAAAGATACTTTTCTTTTTAAATGATTTATAAACTTTAAAGAACATTTCAAAATAATCTATCATATAAAATTTCTGTTAATTTTGATAGAAAAGTTAATGTAGAATTAAAATAGAGCAATCTTTTAAAATTTGAGAAAATGACACTATAATCCTAATAAAAAATGATGACTCAAGGAATTTTTTACAAAAATAGATCAGTTAGAATTGGTAATGAACTTGAGTAATAAGCTCAATTCCAAGAGAAAAACTTACCAAACTTAGAACAAAGAAGCCTCAAGAGTAAATCTTGAAGACACAATAAAAGTTAGAACTTTAAACTATCAAATAAGGATAAAAAGAGAATGAATAAATATACAAAGAAATACTATTAATATACTTCTCTCAACATTGGCTGTTGATTATAGTTGCATATTCGATAGAAATTTTTTTTGTCAATTATAATAATTTTCAACCATCGTTTGTACGACAGTTTTGGTTGTCGATTATATCTGTCGATTATAACATAATTGACAAAAATCCTTCTATAATTGACAGTATTTCCTGTCAATTATACTTTATTTTTTAATAGTGGAACTAGAACCATTACAAGAAAATGAGCATTTTGTGACGATAGAATTAGTCACAAAAACCCAAATTTTAAGTATAAATATAATTCGTGACAAAAAATATGAGTTTTTGTAACCAATTCTCCCTCACAAAATGTTAATTTTCTTGTTGTAACAAAGATTCTAGGAAGAAGAAGATGTAAAAGAATTAGATAATCTATGCAAATAGATTACGATAGCTTAAAAATTTGCAAGACAATTATGAGTTCTTTTGATATATTCAATTTCAAAATGATACTCAACAAAGAATATTTGCCATTTATTTAATCTTTTATATTATGGTATTAAAAGTCATTTATTAAAAATAAATTCCTTAACTTGAGTATTATTAGTTCTAATTTTAAAATGTTTTGGTAATAAGAAAAAACTAAACTTTTTTGTTCCATTTTTAATGTCTACTAATTCCTTCTGATTATAATGATATCTAGTTTCTATATCTTTAAATGTACTATTATCATATTTATAAACTTTTTCTTGAGAGTTTTTCAAAGCTACTCCCCAATAAAAATCTAAAGTATCATATTCTAAAATTAACTCTTCATCATCTTTAGACAATTGTAACCTAGGAAGGTTTTACAATATTCTTTGATTTTTTTTTTTTCATATGATTAGTGTGATAAAATCCCATTGTTGATTTTTGCGAAGGATGTCTTAGTTAAGCTAGATTTTAAATAAACTATTATACATAGTTAAATATTCCTAAAAATCTTTGAATATGTTCCTTAGATTCTAATTTATCTAGAAATAATGAAATCTTCCCACTAATGTGATATTGCAATTCTATCCCTATGAAATCTATTATTAACTCAAGGAATTCAATTTTACTTTTTCCTATTTCTACTTTCTTTTCAAAAATTAATATTCCATGTTTCTTGCACAAGTATATAAACTTCTTAAGATGATATAAATGTTATTCCTCAATATCAAGAAATATTAGCATATCATATATATATACCATGTAAAATCTTCTGATGGATGAAAATACATTGTCCATTCTTTTTTGGAATATTTGAGGTACATTCTTCAATTCAAAAGGCATTATCGACCATTCATAGTGTCATGTAGGAACACTAAAAGCTGTTAATGGAATACCTTCAGAAGTTAACTTAATATGCTAAAATCTTGATTTGAAATCAAATTTTGAGTATATTTTCTTTCCTCTAATGCTATTAATTAGAGTTTCTTTATGTGGTAAAAGGTAATTATCAAATTTAGTTTTACAATTAACTTGTTTGTAATTAACAACCATTCTAACTTTACCTCTTTTTATTGCACTATTATTTCATTATGATTCCTCACCATAAAGCCAAGCCTACTATGAGGACTCTTGAAGGCCTATATAATCTTCTAGGTCTAGGTTATTAATTCTTGAATTTGCTTTTCGAATCCTTCCCTATCTTTAGGCTAGATTAAATGATTTTTAGGTAAAATTTTAACTTATTTATTTTATCATGCGTAAGTAAGGTGGACATAGAAATAATTTTATTATTTTTTAACATTAGATTATTTTTGAGATTAGAAACGACGGGGAAACAATACCTGACCTTTTATATTTTGAATAAAAAAGTCTATTTTAAGGCCAATGTATTATATTTTAAGATGCTTGACTTCATTCAAGAAACCATTTCAGATAAAGAATTTTATGAGAAGTAGTGTGAATATTATAGAAATAAAATGGTAAAAATTTTAGAAAAAATGAGTAATGTTGAATGATTCAAATGACTATCATATATTCAATAAGCTTAAAATATTAAAATGAACAGTAGTAGATTTAAATAAAGATCTAAAAAGATCAAAGAATGTTAAGTAAAGATTATCTCTATCAACAGCCTAATAGATTTAATTTCGCATTTATTGAGTTTAACATATCAGCTACTCATTAGTCAGTAGTCTAAGTTAGGTTTTCAAAATCCCCTAAGAATTTGATATTAGTGCCATAAAATAATTTTGTTAAGAATGAAATTAAAAAAGTTAGTAAGATTTTATGATCAACAAATTTATATTATAACAAAGATTATAACTAAAAAGGAATGCAACACCATAGAACTGATGAGTTACTATAAGATAGATATGTCTATAAAGTTTGTAGAGCATTAGTTCTAGAAGAATTAAAAATTTTAACAAGATAAGAATAAAAGCTATTTTCACGATAAATATAAATTTAAGGATAAAAAAATCAAAAGAAATATAGTTAGAGGACTAAATGTTTTCTTATAGAATAAAAAGATTTCCATTAAAGATAATGGACTAAACGAAATTGAAATGAATATAAAAAATAATAGATAAGATTGAAAGAATTCAAGGATAATAAATGAATTTATAAAGAGTATAGAAGTTAGTAGATGGTTTGTTAAATTAAGTTAATTTTTTTAAGTCAGTCAATTTTGTATTTTCTTTTTGTATCAATTCAAAATAATATATATAGGGAATTTACTAGAAATTAAAGAAATAACAGTCTACTGATGATTAGTTAGATCGAGTGAAAGGAATTTGGTTATCTTTAAATTAATAAAATTTTGAGTTTTAGTTTTATAAATGAAAAAATAAATATTAAAAAAGCTTCTCCTTATTGGGGTCCAATATAATTTGATTTCAAATTAATCAGAATTCATTGTAGCTTTTGGAAATTGGAGGGGTTTAGTACAAAAAAGAAAAAGAATAAGAAAAAAAAAAAGAAACAGCGGCCTATATATAATGAAAGGAAGATAAGAAACACGTTTTAAGCCACATCTAGTAAGCATTTATGTTCCCTCTGAAGGAAGTAAAGGTCAGTTGCATGCAATTTGCGTGAAGAGCATTGGTGAGTTTGGTGATGCCCTTTCTAATTCAATCTTTGTAGATATAGGAAAGTCCATTCTCCTAGGGAGGGACGAGGTCCCCAGTCTCCAGTCCCTACTCTCATTGAATTCAAAAGAATATATTGAAGAAAGAAAACTTATGAATTAGGCAAACAAATGGATGACTGCAGGAATTATATGTACAAATCTGATTTTGATCGATTCTTTCAATTGGTTATAAATAGAGACATGGAAATACTGTATATTGGCATATCATAAATAGTATACCTATAGAAAGCTCTTGAATTTGAGAGGGAGAGAGGCTTAGCATGAAGACAAGAGTCTTGTTTGGTAGCCAAGGATGACTTGCCTGCTCTTTATTTCCAAGAGTCGGGCTTCAACTGTTTTGTCTGTGTCTGGACTGAAACCCAGGCAGGCAGTCTCCTTTGGCTAACTTGACAGGCTCTTTTCTCTCATGCCAGGCCTTCTCTTCTTCACCTTCCTTTGAAGCTACAAGCTCTTTTTTTTTTATGAATCATGTAAAAGAAGACGTGTCCTGGGTGGATAGCGCTAGCTGAAGCTGAGGAAGAGAGGTCTTACATGAAGACAAGAGTGCTGTTCGGCAGCCAAGGATGACTTGCCTGCAACTGCCAACTGCAACCTTAATTTTAATTAGTTGCATATAGATTTCAAAAGTTGTGAAAAACTTGTTTCTTTGTTTCCAGTTCCAGGCAGACATCCTTGGCTATGTTGGACAGTCATCTTTTTCTCTCATGCTAGACCTTTTCTTCTTCTTGTAATTTGGACAATTAATTAAGGCAGCCATTTAGTTGGGTATCAGATGGATGCCTGTTGCAGTGAAAAGATCAAGTAAGTTACATATACTAGATTAATCAATGCATGAAATTTTACTGTTTGATTTATCTTGATTAATATTACTATATCAGATTAGTATTTATCTGTTTTATCGATAAAAATAAAAAGAAAAATTGATAAAAAAAAATATTTTGATTTATATTTTAAAAATATAATATTTTATTTTTTTAATAAATATTTATTAAAATGACGTAATTTCAAAATAATATTTTTTTAATAAGTCAATTAGATAAATATTATTTTTTTATTATATTTATTAGTTTAAATCAATGGATGAAGATCTTTACATAGAAAATCCGTAGGGTATTACTATTGGCCGTTGCTCTTTACGCAAGTACCAGGAGCCACACCTTCGGGATGTGGTTCCTCCTGTTGTCCTATCAAATATCCCAATTGGATGTTTAAGTAAGTATCTCTTCTCTGTCAAATTCCCGCATCTCCTGATGCTCACAAATGACTTAAAAATTTTGTACTTTTCACCTTATTTACTATCTACTGCAGTATTAGTAACAAACAAACCTCACTAAATTTCAGATATGTAATATTTGAAATCCCAAAAAAAAAAAAAATTTACAACTAGAT